ATTGTAGATTCACAATAATTACTAAATAATTTTCACTCACAAACAGGTTTCCGAAAAATCCGGATCAAAGAAATGCATGGATAAATTTTTGTAAGGACGAAGGATTTAATATAAATTTAGATTTTAGATTTTAACATTGCTTTTATGGAAATACTGCACGAGTGCAATTCTAATGAAAAACGCCATTAAAATTTGGTATTATTGTTGCATATTATAGTTATTTTCTTTTAATTGTACATTATTTCCTAATTAAACATAACAAGTCATTCAATATTGGCGCCCTTGAGCGGCCATCTTGAGCGACTACTTTATATAGTCACTTCCGTCCGCACTTTTAAGACCAAACGCTCCCTCCTGTTTCTTTTTACTCAATGATGACAGCCAAGGATATAACCTAATTTTATGTAAAAGTGCTGTATCTGCCGAGATAAATATACGAATGCGCATGCGCGAAGGAGGAAAAACCGTCATTATCTTGGCAGGTGTTGCATTATAGCAAAAATGGTACAAAGCTCTATCTATATGTAATATATCTATAGGTTTGTTCTTTATAGCTGAACTGGCTGTACTAGTTCAGAGTTTATCTTTTTCCCTCCACATTGGAAGAAGAAAGATAAACTCTGAACTAGTGCAGCCAGTTCAGCTATAAAGAACAGACCTTATGATTGGAGCGAATAGGAGCATGTTGGAGCTTGCGACGCGAACAAACCTTAAGGTGCCTTTTCACGCTGACGCTCGACGCTCATTTTTAGCGTCCAAATATGTCACGTGAACAAAGTTGACGCTGGATGTGAGAAATGCATGAAAAGAGTTTCTCGTAAAATTTAGCGTCAGTCAGCGGTCTGCGTCGGTATTCATCAATATTTGTATATATCAAAACTGTTAAAAGTTTTTGTCACTGATTTTGTTCAGTTAATTTTTTCACTCGCTTTATTAATAATTACTGTTTTAAATATTAAAAAGTGTAATTAAGTAGGAATAAGATAAAACCTTTGGTTACCAGTTCTACTTATTTTATCGAAAATGCTAAAAAAATGTTTATTAATAATTTTTTATTATATGTAATATTTTTATTATATGTTTACAAACATAAAATATTTACTTCATGTCATATTATTTATTTTGATAAGTATACAAAATGTATATCTTTTCAATTAAACAAAGTTTCATATTATTGCAAACTTTGATAAGTAGAGTAGGAAAAACGATATTAGAATAGTTGTTCAGTATTAGAAAATTTCTAATGTAATACTTAAGAATAGCATTTTTCAAAGTTAGAAAATTAATTGTATAGAATAAAAATGCACAGCATATTTGTATATATTATATTTCAAGCTTTTATTTATAATAAAATAACTTTTTATTGAATTAAGTTTACATAACATTAATATTAAATTTACATAATTAAACATATATAATATAAAGATAATTATAAAAATATATTTTGCAAATAAATACAATACTGCTGATTCTTCCAAACCTCAAAAAGTATCATTTTTAATTCATTACTTATTCATTCTTTTTATTTTCTTTATATATATGTAGTATTGGATAATAAATTCAATTATTACTTTTTATTACTTAAATAACATCCATTTTTATTAACAAGGTTGAAAGACCACATGAGACATATGCAAATCCAATAGCGAATAGCACGCACAGACAGATCATCGCACAGATCGCACGACTTGACGCTAAAGCTAAAAAAATCCAGCTTTTTTTTCTGACGCTAGCGTCAACTCGAAGTCACGTGACTATGGGCAACGCTGAAACGAGCGTCCCATGAATTTGCACCTTAAAGGCCGGAGCACAGACTTTTACATAAAGCATAACGCATAAGCATAAGGAAATTGATTGGTCTATATATAAGCATAAGCAAATGCATAAGGAAATGGACCAATCAATTTCCTTATGCTTATGCGTTATGCTTTATGCAAAAGTCTGTGCTCCGGCCATTATAGTTCAGTGGTCCTAAAGCCCATTACACAATGAAAATATAAAAAGGAGTAAAGAACAAGAAATATGGAATAAGGAATAAGAAATATGAAATAATGGAATCCAACAAACCAGATACTGCCTTTCAATGCACAATTGAAAGGTAGAATATAAGAATATCTTATTCCTTATTCTCTATTCTTTATTTCTTATTTTTTCATTGTGTAATGGGCTCAGCTCTTACTACAGGAACTCTAATTTGATCTCGGACTGTCATTCTGATATATCATAAATTAAAGTAAAGATTTATTTAACTTATTTAGCAATTTATGTTTATTTTAAAACCGTACTCTAAAAATAATTTTAAATGTAATATCGAAAATCATTTTATAGTCGATTTAAGTTGATTTGTATTCTTTGCTGAAAAGATCAAAGTAATTGCTTTTTTAATTATTTGTAAATTTATTGCAGACATTTGATTAATCAATTTTTTTATGTATGTGTATTATGAATATTTATTTAACAATAATTATAACCAAAAGTTTTAACATGTAATATTGCATCAATTTGGAGCATATTTAACATTGTATCCAAATATTTTTGTTTATTAAAAATTAAAAATTATTTTTTATTGATTAATTTATTTTGCATAAGCTATTACTTATTTTTAACTTTGTGTTTAATTTTGCATGTGTGTTAACACTCTTATAATAAATGTTAAGCATTTATGATGCCATGTGTACGTAAAAATGTACACGTGTATGCACACGTGTATACGATATTATGTGCATAGTGATAAGTTGTAAAAATATAAATTTATGAAAACAAAAAATTTAAAGCAAGCATGCTTTTTGTTAATTTTTTTTTAAATATTGATTATATCCAAGTTTTTTAATTTTTTATCATGTTCCAATTTTACCGATTGACTTGAGAGACGCGCGCTTCAGCATGAGCCGATTACATATGGCGACGAATAATTGAGAAAGTGTTTGCTCGTTTTCGCTAAGTTTTTTAGTATTTTTGTTTGACGGTTACTGCAGGTTATAGATATTCGTCCCATTTGCAGAAATAATATCCGATAGCGCGGATTGTGTGATTTTAACGAATTATAACATTATAATGTTGCGAGAGTAACAGCAGTGTTTTTTCATAACCTTGTAAATTGTGTGGAGAAAGCCTGGTGCAGGCAAGTATATGCACTTCCTGTGTAATATGTTGCTTTATAATTGCTTATTGCTTTTTTTAGAGAGTTATTCTCTGATAATGCAGCTATGCAGCTCTTGTTACCTCTTGTGGAATATCAATTTCTGCAAATTTATTTTTTGTTCTTTTTTCTTTAAAATATAACAGTTTTATGATGCAAAAATTTTAAGATCATTATGGGATACAGGGATATATTGCTTCAATTTTTAATTATTTTTTTTAACTGCAAGAATAAGTGTTTTGAGGAATAATGTTTTGAGAAGTAATAAGTCACGAGCTATATTTTTTCAGATATTTGTTCCAATGATAATAAAAGTATGATTTATTTATAGACAAAGATAAGCAAATAATATAGGGTTTTTTTTGACACACATTCATTGCGTGTTAATAAATTATACAACTTTATTATGTAAAATTAATTAATTAATTATACATTAACTTTTAATTAAAGAATGAGTTATTTATTACATAGATACATATGTATATGTGCACACACAACAATCAGTAATATTAAAACTATATTTTATATGACAGATATGCCAGACAAAAAGACCGACTTAGATAAGTTAGCATGGGCATGGATAGAAACCATTAGCCCAGAACAGATTGAGAAAATACATTTAGAGACTGCATATAGGATTGGATTAAAGAGTTGCAAGAATTGCAAGTAAGTTGTGAATGATTCTGAGACTAACAGCAAATTTTGATGTGATTACTATATCATAATATTGCATTTATTATAAACAGGTATTCTAATCAAGACCTATTATGTTATTTCAGACGTAATTGTCCCAATAATCCACAATGTCTAACAGGTTTAGGAGAGGAAAAGTACATGAAGTCACAACCAGCTGAAGTAGTATCTTTAGAAAGTTCTCTATCCGAACTACGTGATCCAACTCAATATGTGGGTTTGAAAAATCTAGGTGCTACTTGCTACGTTAATAGTTTAATACAAATGTGGTTTCACAATGAAGATATGAGGTATGCGATATATGTTACATTACATTGAATCTGTACTCTACACATTATATTGATAAATTTAATGACAATAGGAGGATAATATATAAATGGGACATTACTGAAGACCCTGAGGAGAAGGAGGCACTGTACCAGACTAAGAAGGCGGGACTACCCTACCATCCAGCAACCGCAGTTGGCCAATTGCAGTACATTTTTGCAATGATGCAATTTGGAAATCGAAGTCTTCTCGATCCAATCAATCTCGCTGTCGCGTTATCCTTGGATACCAGAACTCAGCAGGATGCTCAGGAATTCTCCAAGCTGCTACTGTGCCATATTGAAGGAAAACTTGGACAAAACTCAGAGCTGAAGAAGATGCTGCAGAGGCTGACCCAGGGAAAATACAGCTATATCAATTGGTGGGTTTTCTGAAGTGGAAAACAAATGAGAATTGTCCTAAACGATGATGATGCTGATGATCTTGACGATGAAAACATGGTAGGACACGTTGTTCGCTACGATGACTGGCGCGATCAACTGATCTGGCAGAGAGAAATGACTTCTTAGTAGATCATTAGGATTTTATGTTTGTTGCAGTTGTTCGACGTGCGGTACTGAGTATCCAACGTCGACCACATTCTACGAACTCGATCTACAATTGGCAGCGACTTTAAAGGAAGCGATAGATAAATATTTGTCAGAAGAACAATTGACGGGTGCGAATCAATATCATTGTGTGACTTGTAATGATAAAAAAGACGCCAGGCGATTTATACGATTGGAGTCTCTTCCAGAAACCCTAAATATTCAATTAATGCGTTTTGTATTTCATAGGTAAGTTTTGACAAACAGCAGCTTTTAGTTTTCTAAATAATAACACAATTTTCTATGACAGAGATTCTGGGCAAAAGCGAAAATTAAATTCATATATCCAATTTCCTGAGGATCTCGATATGTCGGAATATGTTGGATGTCAGTCTCAGACTCATTTATACAGTCTTGTTGCGGTATTGAGTCACAAGGGCCCATCTGCTCATTCTGGTCATTATATTGCAAATATATGTAATTCAAGTGGGGAGTGGTACCAATTTAGCGATGATAAGGTAGAAAAAATGCAGACTAAACGGATTGAGGATGCTGTAAATGGTAATTAAATACGTTGCATAATAGAAAAAAATATACAAATTTTTATGTGAAAAGATGAAAAAAATCATACTTTTTTTTTATTACATAGATAATGCTAAACCAATGAAACGTGGACGTGTTCCAAAAGGATTTCTTTCATCGAATACGGCTTATATGTTGGTTTACAAAAACTTGACTACAGATTGGCGAACGAATGCTACGAAGAAAATGAAACTCAAAAAATCTGACACAGAAGCAAATATTTTCAGTGATACTGTTTCTTTAGAAAATCTCAAAGATAAGTTGGATATTGTAGATGAAACAAAACCGAAAAATGATACCGAAGATGCTTCATTAATTCAAGAAGGAGATCTTGAGAAAATATCGAAACTAGAGCTAGAAAATAAAACAGAAATAGATGAAGCTATGACATCTCAAAAGATAAATATGTTTTTTACGGATAAAAATAAAACTATAGAAAATGTTGACACTAATGGATGTAAAAACAAACATGATTCTACTTTGCAACAATCGCAGAACAAGATTCAGTCTATAAAACAACCAATAGTAAAAGTTGTTAAACTTGATTATAAACAACTAAATGGTGCTGCGCATAGAGCTATGAGTTGCGGAGAACGAGATTTCTACGAAGAGGTACGTTTTTTAAATATAGATTAGATACATAATAATTAGATTATGATATTTGATTAAATAATTCTATTTTTATTTCTATAGATGGAATTTGAGGATTGGCAAGTAAGTGGTACAATGCGTGAACTCGTTAGGCAGGAAAATGTTAAACACGAATTGAGTCTATTAGCCGTACAACAAGAAAAAGTAAGGAGAAATCTATACGCAATACTCAAATAATTTTAGAATTAAGTTTTTTTACATGCTTTTTGCAACGTTATCTTTTCTTTTCTTTTTTTAGCAAAAAGAAATTGAAGATCAGAATTCTAAGCGTCAACTCGTGATAGATGCATATAATATGATCCAATCAATAGTATCTTGGGGTGAATATTATTGGATACCAACAGATTGGCTATCCAAATGGTTAAACGGACATTCTACTGCAGACAGTGTTCCCCCGATTGACAATTCAACTTTAATATGTTCACACTATCGACTCGATCCATTGAAAGTTGGTCGAGCGAAATGTGTGCCGGTGAGAGCAGCTGAAATGCTTTACGACAAATATCGAGGAGGGCCGCGATTAGATCAAACATCTCTGTGTGAAATTTGCGTAAAAAGACGTTGTAAATTATTGCGTTTCAAAGCGACACTCGAACGAGATTATAAGGAAAGTAGTGAGCTAATTCGCACATTTAAAGAACCGTAAGCATTTTTAATTTTCTAAAACTCAGCTAGCATAGGAATAATAATAGTAACATTAATGATTATACTTGAGAATATTTCTATCGTTTTAGTTCCGAGACAAGTTATATCATTGGTACCGATTCATTACGATCTTGGCGAAGATTGGCTATGGAAATGTTCTTAGAAGATATGAAACAAAAGATAGACGATTGTCAGGAGGAGAATAAAAATGTAGATAAGGATGGCAATGATTGCCCGAAGGAAATCGAAGAAAACGAAGATCACGAAGTTATTATAAACTTCAATGAAGATTTACTGTGTGAGCATGATGCTCTTAAAACGGCAGATTCTAGCAGAAGAGTGATACCCCAAGAGGCATGGTTAATTCTTCGAAAGTATTTTCCGGATTCGAAAGAATACCCCATTGGATCGCAATCTTGTTTAATTTGTGAGGTAGATTTTTAAATATGTTTATGTTGTGAAACAAGTTATTATTGAAATATTTTTGAAATATATGTAAATTGCATTTGTCATTGATATATTTTCAGGAGAAAGTGGAAAACGCACAAAGAGCGAAAAAAGATGACAAGATAAAGGCGAAGCAACAAAAGGACGAGCTTACCGACTTGTATTACGGAAGAAATAGAAATGAAATCTCCAAATGTGATGATTCGGACAAACTGTTCTACATAGTTGAGAAAAGTTTTTTGGATAGTTGGCGTTCCTTCATCCGGTAAGTTTTCTTAAATTACATAATTTATGGTATGGATGAATAGCAAGAATGAAACAGTTATAATTGCAGCTTTGAACAGAAGTGTTTGAGATAGCTTTTGTTTAAAATTCATCATATACATATATATTTATAATAAATTTTGATGTTTGAAAAGAAAATATATTGCGTAGGAGATATCTCTTAAAAAGTTAGGCTTAAGCTATTATTTTATTTCTTGTCAGACATATTGATGGGTTATTTAATAGAAAGTTTTTGAATTCTCTAACACATTTCTCGAGACTTGAGAAATAAGTATTTTGAAAGTTGTATATTTTAACACTAGAAGTACCAAAGCGATCAAGATGACCGATTTGTAATTTCTTATAACAATTATTTAAATTTGGTGCACAACGGTGCATTTTCGGAGATTTTCTAAATTGTTGCAATGTGTAAATGATGTGATTAAATCGATCAATTTACTTTCTCCCATCATTCCTTTTTAGAAAAGAAAGAAAAAAGAAATAGAAATAGGTATATGTTAATCATCAGTAGTTCCAATATTAATTATCGGTTTTTTCGTTTTTCTAAAATTCGTCAAAATACCAATAAACATTTGAGACATAAAAAAGATTAAAATAATATCCAACATATGTAAATATAAACGGATAAAATCTATTTATAGTAGTTGGAGAGTTCATCTCTTAGCGCGTTTAATAAAAAGTTATTATTTCAATTATTTGAATATAGTAATCCTTGATTCTTTTTGCACACAAAACAAATCTGCAATAGTTTGTCGCGTAGCCGTATCATTTGTAACGAACTCTGATTTTTCGGCAAGGCTAGACAGGATTTGGAAATTTTAAGTAATCTGTTTGGAATAAAGTTGCTCGTTACTACATTCAAGTGTGTAGCGTAATAAAACCTTGCTGAACAATTGTTATACAACAGAATGAAAATGAATATCTATGATTGGAGTTTCAAGAGACAAACAAATACTTTTACAGCTGCATCTTTATAATTATTAATTTTTCTCGTAAGCATCAATCATAATATCGGAACAAACTTGACATTTTTAACATTTTAGTAATTCACTAAATTTGAATAAATGAGCGGATAGAAAGAATATGTTTATTAGTTTTATCGATAAATTTTATTTAATATCTTCTGTCGATAAATCATAACTAACTTCGAGTATATGTATTCGTTCGTAGTGATTATGATGGCACTAGTTGGCTGAGAAATCGTACCTATCAGCGTGCGCGCACCAATTTCTCGATTCATGCCCATTGTTTAATATATTGTTTAACATATTGTTTAACATATTTCTGCAATTATTAAATTAATGCAAAATTGAAACATAATTTTTTCAAGATTATCAGTGAAGAGCATGTATATTTCGTTTCATTAAGTATTACAAATTTTGATTTCATAAATAAAGTTAATGTATAGAAAAGAAATAATCATGAGATTTAATAGTATGAATAATATGATATTATAATAATATTTAATAAAATTTGGCGTCAGGAAAAGAACATGTCACATATCGTATAAAGATAGTTACCGAACAACGGTTAATGAAGAATAAATAAAGTTTCATTAATTATTCTTTAATTTAACATGTCTAATATCGAATTGTAATTTAACTTGTTGTGCAATTGTCTACGCTTTTCTTTTTTAAACTCGTTTAAAATTGCACTTTCATGTTAATACATATGATTGTGAGATTTTTACGAAAACAAAGATAAATACTTGATCTTACATTCGTCAACCGCGGTCGAAACTGGTTGTCGTAAACGTGAAAAGCGAGGGTGAAACGGGTGGGTAGATATCTGGGATGTATTAACGAGCTTTTCCTAATTATGAGAAAAAACTAGACCGCGCGATTAAGCTGGGTGGTGGTCGGTTCTCTTCTCTTGCTCGCGTGGGTGAGGAGGAAGACCTGCACGGGAAAACTAATTGAAACCGCTTAACGACCCGCCGGCAAATGATACATCGACTCCGACGAAGGGCCACCGGTGCCTTAATATCGTTTCGCCTTCTTCCGTGGTCAAGACCGTAAATGCAATTTGGACTCTCGCTCGATCTTCTTCGAGTTTCTATTTTTCCGGTATCTATGTATCCCTAATTCACGCTTCGTGAAAAAAATAAAAGCCTAAAGTATATACCGAGGAAGAATATAAATTTTCTTTTTGCTTCTTCAAATTTAGTTCTCAATTCCGAATATATTTATGCGAATATATTTATGTTAATTAATATTATATGAACTAAATAGTTAAACACAAAAAATTGCATTGCTTTTTTTCCTTTTTTAATTTTTTTATTAAAATTTGCTGATGAGCTTCATATAATTTCTCTGTACTTTCGACTTTTGTTTATCATAAAACGAGATCATCTTCATTTTTGTCACGCGTTTTTTTTTTCAAATAAAAGTGATTTTTTTCTTTAAATATGTATTACTAGATTTAGTAGCAGTGCTATTTGAACACAGCTTCATGAATACAAGCAAAATCTTTCCGACAATGAAAAAAAGTCTTTTAACATCCGGAATGGTATTATCTGAACATTTCCCTTATTATACGTTCTCTCGCGCAGTGCGACATGCTGGCTGGACACTTCGGATTGACAGATTCAAATTTACCGGGGCTTAAATTTCGTGGATACAACGGCATACGTATGTGAGTTAAACCAGGATCAACCCTTCTCGCGGATTATACGTTTGTCGTGTCACGCGCGATTTCGGTGTACGTACATAGGGGTATGAAAACCTCGAAATAAGTGGTCGGTTCTTATATTAAACGAACAGTTATGAGTAACAAGGAGGACACATTATATGTTGAGAGAGAAAAATGTGTGATATTTGGGACTATAATTGCATAGTACGATAATTATAGCCAGGATACTCATTTTTATAAGAACTGCTACTATAATGTTAGCAATGATAACATTATACGCACAATGCTGCCAACCACATTACCATCCATATAATCAATATAAACATTTTACTGCAACTTACAATAATTTTAAATACAAATATAATAAAATAGCACATTTTACTATATAAAACTCTCGTTTTGGAATGTAAAAATCGTACGATATGGTTATATAAATTAATATTATGATTATATAATGATCATAGTAGTGTTGAATTAGTTGTAATTTGCATAGTTAGAACATCTATAAATATATGGTTTTGGCACCGAAAAACGCTAAAATAATAGTAAGATGATAGTTGCTGTAATCATTTTGTTCCTCTTAGTGTATATTCCTTCTCTTTATGATTTATATACATACACAATGTTAAGTAATGCGTAATTAGATTAGATTTTAATAATACCCTTAAAATAGCAAACAATAATCAAGTTTAATATTTATCGGAAAATTGGAAACCTTATTTGATCGTGTTCAGTTTGAAAGATACGTAGGGGAACTATAATTCGCTACTTTGTCCTATTTCTTAAAATTGCCAGTATCCACGATCCATTATCGAGAATTTGTTATTAATCAGGGGAGAGAAAATGTGAAAAATATTTTTCCGAGCCGCTGGTATTGTCTTCGACCGACTCCTTTGTGATGTCGGTGATTAATTTTTCAGCAGGTCGGGCATGCCGCCCTTTTTTGCACCACCACTGCCAGTAATCGTTCTTTGTATTTTTCGAACAAAACCTCATATAGTTCGTTGCTTCCATTACACATTATTTTATATAATACGTGCATAGTGCGCAGTCTCATTTTAGTACTCGGAATATAAAATTACTCTTTATTAGTCACACATATATACTTTTTTTTTATATTTATTTTAAATTTGTTATATCCGCATTGTATTCTAGAATTACGCATACATATATAAATATCTTTACCTTCTTATCTCGTGTTTATCAATTTTGCGGATTTTGGGGAACTTTATTTGCAGCTTGTCATTTCTATAGTTTCTCATTTTGCTTGCTCAAGAAAATAGAGTAACAGTTTATAAAAAAATAATTATTTTCTAATTAAAATTACGTTATTACAATATTACAAGATTACATTATATTAGAAATTAAATTTTTAATACGCATTAAAACACAATAATGCACTTATCTTATTTTAAAAGCATACGCTATGTAAATTTGTTCTTATTTTTCAAAGGCCTAGAAACAATTACTTTTTCTTTTTGTTAATTGTTTACTATTACTCTCCTTATTGATAATTAGCTAAGATTCGCTAATCCGAGGCGATGGAAGTTTTCGCACTCTTAGGAGAACAAATGGTGTCGAGGATTGCAGTCCGTTTAACTAGCTTCAAACAAAGTCCCCCGCCAATCCGTCAACGTCGCTCGGATGGATTTTCGAAAGGATTAGGATTTGCATAAACGATCATTCAACTTCCGTCCGACACCGCTCATCCTTTCTTTTGGCATGGATATTCCTCGACATTGGTGATTTAAAAATCTACACTTCGTAGGCAGGCCGTTAAATATAAGAACTGCTAATTTACTCTTTTATCTGAATTATTGCGTTTTATTGTTTTTTGACGTGTTTAAACGTGAAATATACATATATTGGATTGTGTAAGTAGTTTATTAAGTTAATAGGTATTTAATAAATACTTTTGTATTTTTCAAATAAATTTTGTTTGTCGAAGTTTTGTAATCAAGTATTGCTCGTATCATAATTTTTTAAGCGTGCTGTAGTAAAAAAAAAAAAAACAAATAGCACCATCTATTGGAAACCCCCAAAATTAATTATTACACAACTCAATAAATATATAAAATTATTTATGAAACAATATGTTGAGGATATAACAAAATATTTGATCTTTATATCAAGATTTAAGAATTATACAGTCTCTTTTATCATGATAATATATAAGAATATTTTAAGTTTAAATCTGTTGCTAATGTTCAAAACATTTAATTTATTTGTATTATATTTCAATAATAAATTATGCCATGGAATTATATTCGAGGAAAATCGATTTGTTTCCTGTTCTTCAGAACTTACGAGTACACAATGTTTACTTTATTGCACCTGAGTGCAAGTTTCTTCGTCGGACGCGCGCACTTTAAGCTGACTTCCGTACTTGAGTAAATAATTATTAATGATCATACTTGAGGAAAATGTGACCGCGATCTTGTTGACACCGCATTGTAACACCGCGGACAATGGTGCCGTCGTAGTCATCGTCGTGGGTCTCAGAAGCGTGCGCCACGAGACTGACGTAGAAAGGAGATGGTCGGGGTAGGGCAGAGGCCATAATTAATAACTGGGAATTGATTAAGGTGCCAGATAAGTACATGGAGCCGATAGCTTGTGTCTCTCGTCTCTACTCGTCTTCCTTGCGCTCGGGCCTCCCTTCGGCTCTCGTCTCTCGTACGACGCGCGTTACGATATGATTAATAATTTCAAGATAACGCTGCCGTCCCTGCAGAGTCCCTAATATCGTCGTTGTCCCTTCGCGAAGGACCGATTTGCGGTTCCACTTACGGCCTCATAAATGACTAATTATTCTCGCTGTCCAGGTCGCCCGGTAGCCATTTACTTGCCTCTCGAACGCAAATCTTACTCGCGCACCAATCCACTCGAAGAGATAGCTTTCTCTCGAGAAGTACACACCATTTTGTTTCGTTCTGTTTTTCATTCTCCTTCCCGCTTTTGTGCGACTGAGATCAGCTAATTTACTATTATGGAAAAGCGTTTGTCGTTTCGATAACCCGATGTAGTTTGACGTAGGTTTCCCTTTCCTCTCCAGGCGAGGGATGAAGCGTCGAAGAAATTCCGACTATTTTGCGTACATTTGGCAGGAGGGTGCCGCTGCTTCTCGTCGAGGCGAACGTAAAGGGAGAGAGAGAGAGAGAGGAGCGCGCAGTGCGACGGGTGGGTGGACGGGTGCTCGCGGAAGGAAAACTATAAATCATTCGACGAAACAAGCCACGTTAGAAAAAGAGGGTTGAGTCTTAGTATTGGAGAAGGGTGGCTCGTAGTCGTCGTGCATCGACTCGCGAAATCCAACTACCCTTAAATAAATTGATTCATTGCGAGAGACCTCTGCGATGCCATCATAAACTCGAATCGTCCTCGGCTTCCCTCTTTCGTCCGATATATTTCGCTAATTTTCGCGAAATTGTGTCTACTATCGGCGAGAGATGCTGGAAAGTTAAACGTATATCGCGGAATTGATCGATCGCCACGTTGATAGCACATTTGATTTTTCCTGAGATGAGATGCTGTTAAAGAAGCACATGTTTTCTGGCGCACGCCGGAACCGATGGCACGCGAACGCTTTTGATTTATATTTATGCAAGTGACATGAATCTGATAATGAATAGTCTTATAGTCTATAATGAATAGTCTTTTATATATAATCGATCTCTATTATTTTCGCTGATAATTGAATTCGTACGTATACAAATGCACCATCGACGCGTGGAAGGAATTCTTTCGGAATCAGGATGTATCCTCCCGTTCCCTCTCTCTTTCTCTCTCTCCCTCTCCTCTCTCTCTCTCTCTCTCTCTCTCTCTCTCTCTCCTCCCTCCCTCCCTCCCTCCCTCCCTCCCTCCCTCCCTCCCTCCCTCCCCCTCTCTCTCCACCTCTATTCCTCATTCTCCCGGGGGTGGCCAGTGTCTCGGGGGCGGTCATATATCATCCACCCTTGGGGGTGGCTGCGGGGGTAGAAGCAAAAAATCTTACCGAGCAAAAACTATCATCAGTGCTCGGTAAAGCGAGCTGAACGTTTCGCTCGCTTCTCTCTCTCCCTCCCTCTTCTCCTTTTCTCCTTTCCTCTCCATATTCTCTTCATCTAAGGTCTACGTGTCGTTATTCCACGTATATATCCTCTCTCACCTTTCTATAAAAATAGTTAATAATGGGTTTATACAGTGAACGCAATGTCAATTTAATATTTTTATATTATTTTAAATGCTTATCTTACGTTTTCATTGATGTATACTTTTAATCACAATTAACATGATGTTTTATAAAACTTATGTGAAATAATTGATAAGCGCATTTTTTCCCTCATTCACAACTCTCTTTTCTTCTTATACGAAATTTATCCATAATTTGAATCATATTATCTTATGTGGAAAATCTGCATTGCAGAAATGTTAAATAATTTTGATAATTCTGGTCAAACTTCTACATATTGCTTCACTTAACTCTCAGTCATCGCGGCTTGCCTATCACATTTCTCAGCTTATTCGAATTGTCAGCTTTTAGCACGATCGCAATTTTATTCTGCGAGAAATAGCGGGGGGGGGCACGTTCGTACGGCCGATTGTGCTCTCTCTCTCCACAACGGTGCCAATGTAAATAGACGGGAGCGACCAAGCATGGCGGGTGGCTGCGTTTTTCGTGGCGTATCGGCGGTAGCCCAATGGTCACGCCTGACGAGCAACCTACGCGTGTTGTTCTCCGATCGAGAACGCTTGATCGGTATTGAGAAGTCCAGCAAAAAAACGGCCTTAGTCGACGTAACGATTTAACTTGCAGCGAGCAAGTACATTCTGCAAGTAGACTCTGCAGGTATATTCGGGAAACAACCGATGTGTTTATAATCTCATTATTTCGGTATATATTTTAATTTATAATATTATAATCTACAATTGATGGCAGTTGCGTAATTATAACCGATCTGTAGAGTTGTTACGCGTTGACGGATTTATTCAACAATTTAATTAAGATTTCGTTTATTACCATTTTTCTACTATTTTCATATAATCTATCGGATTATATTGTTAAAGAAAATGAACATTTTGACATACGATGTGTCACAAAACATTTTTTTTTTTTATATATTCTGCTGCTTGCTACTTATAACTGAGAAAAGTTGATCAGTGTTCGCTATGGAAAAAGAGCAGTTTGCTATAATTGATCATTGCTCGCTAATTCCTTGCTCGTGCTTAGTTTCTATCAATTGAACACGGTGAATATCTTTGCGCCTTTCGAGGCAGTATACCTGCATAGCGAAGCCCGGCCACGGGCGACCAGAAGCGGAGCATCCTCCACGGACTCCCTTTTTATTACATCGGCGAAAGCCTCCAGTCGGTCTTCTTGTTTGCTCAAAGGGAGAGAGAATCTTCGGTCGCGCGGGATAGTCCTCCACAGGCGGAGCGGGCGGAGAGGGAAGCGGCGAGGAGGAGGAGGGGGGAGGAGGAGAAGGAGGAAGAGGGTAGTAGTGGTGGTGGTCTGAAGTTACACCGGCAGTAGTCCTGTTGACCGACGGACTGCGGCAGGATGTCGATTATCGACGGTTTTTGCCGTGATTCCCCTTTTTCGAGCCGAGCGCATAATTAGCTTTCGTTATTCTAGCGCGCACGGCCGAGCCAAGCCGCGCGCGGCCGGCCGGCTTCCGCCCGCTGACAACGATCGAAGACTCCTTGCTCGCTCTCTTGTCGGCATTATACTCGCCGCGATCTTCCTCCTTTGCCCCGGCTATTGTCTCCCCCCCCCTCCT